CCTAAAGATCGTTCAGCACGACATTATTGTTGTGTTTGTGATACTTTTAGTTTTAAGTATTTGGCATTTTCTAGTTGGGTGTTTCCAAAATTCGTACTAAAATGTTGAATCATCCTCAGGATATGTTGCCTGCTTTTTAATTTTGTCCTTTGACGTCTTATCTGTGATATGCAGGCTTCATAACTTCTGATCCTCAAAACTAAATTTTGTTTAGTTCCACCCATTGCTTTCTCGTTTAGGACACACGCCTTTTATTATGTCGGGACCATACGCTGCTTTTCAGAGAAATAAAGAATCCCTAGAGAGAAATAAATAATACCCAAAGAAAGCCCTACAAGACAAAACTGAAAATGTTGAAGGCTCGGTTTGATTGAGCCTGTTCATATACGGTAATGGAAAGTGCAAGTTACCGTCCACGCCCCCTAGCACGGCTTATGCAGAATTCAGTATTTAATCATGGCAATGCTGAAATTTTGAGTTTAGAAACATCCGCAGATGTGTTCATACGGCGGTAATCATGGAACCTTCAATGTGACACTTTCGTGCCATGTGTGGAAAATATGCTTGAATCATAAACTTAATCATGCAGACATGGACTGGAAACTTAACTATGTGTGGAAAATATGTGTATTGGTTAACAAAATCACACAGACATGGTCTATACCCTAAGGCTTGTTACATAGGGTATGTGTGTGAACTGTAAACTAACTCACAAGAACATGGACTGTATAAATATGCGTGAAGTGGAAACTATATCAATAAACTAAGTCATTTATAATATGATGTGTTTGATAGAAAGCTAAATCCTACTCACATGGATTGTCAACTATAGTGTGTTGAAAATGTGTATTAAATGTAAACTAAGTCACACAGACATAAAATAAACTAAGCCATGCAAACTAGAAAATGTATGAACTGTAAACTAAATGCAACTTACTGGACTATTATTTAACCCTGCGTTGAAATCGTGTTTGAACTGTTTTAAAACTAAAACAGTGAAACATTAATGTGTGTGAATTATAAACTAAATCAAACTAAATGTGCTTGAATTTAAATGTGTTACATTAAATGGAAATAAGATTAAATCGCTCAAATCTGGCTGTTACTAAACATAGCAATAATGAATAATGCTATGACGATGTGTGTACAAATATATTGTAGACTAACATATACCAACATGTACTATTATCTCGACAAGACTTTGTGCTCTAATTATAATTTTGTGTGAACTGTAAATAAATTGGAAATAAGTATTATCTTATATAGAACTATGTCTGTATCCAGCGGAAAATATGCATGATTAATACAGCATCCTTGTACATAGATTAATTTACAACCAACAAACTCAGCAATGCATAACCCTATATTTTTATGAATGTATCTGATATTTATAGTATTGTCATTTAGAAATGTAAAGAGGTTTACTAACTGATAAATTCATTATGTACCATGAGTCATGACGCAAAATAATTATAGTAATGTGTCTTCAATGCAAGGCGACAGACCTACTGTATACTTCATGGTATGTATTCCAGGCATTAAACTGTTAATAATGCTGTAAATTATTGACTTCGTATACTGCACTAAACAAAATTTAATGTACTATATAACTTCAAGACATGGTAAACAAAATACATATCTAATGCCTTACAAATGGAACGCTTGAGGGCGGAGACCAAAGCTGCTGCTCTTATATATTTGATGACACTGAACTTCATATGGGGGTTGGAGACTATATGATGGACAGTTCTTAAAGCCCTTTGGGACTGAATTGCCTTAATGTTTGTCTTCTGTCTTGCTTCGTCGGGCCCTTGTAGGTGATTTTCTTGTTGCTCTGTCTTCCTTTAAGACATCGAGTACTTTTGTTATGGTCATTGGGTTTACTTTTATATGTTTCTACATGATCATTTTGGTGTTTTACTTATTTAACCTTTTGTAACCATAACAACTGTTAGAATTTCACTTGGCGGGATTCATTTTATTTACACTGTCTCGGAATCTGTATAGGAACATGGTGGGGCTAAGAGCGAGGTTTGGTGCACCATTAACCGGTTTAAACTCCCCAGCAGTCATTATTATGCTGCTGACCGTTCCAAGGCGGCGCCCCACTGTGTTCCTCAGATGTATGTCTATGTTGTTTCATACTGTTTTGGTGACACTTTTGCTTGTGTCCCTTGTTGTTTTCTCGTCTACGGTAAGTATCATCCCCATTGCCTCTAGTTTTTATTTCTTTGATTAACCCCCCCCCCTTCCCCCGGTCTCCTGTCCCCTTCCCCTTTGTGGGCCTATTATTATTTTCTTTGAATTCCTAATCAGTTACAAATTATTTATCATTTAATGATTAACGTGTCGTTGCCCTGTCCCTTTTATGTTTGGGGTCCGCCTGGGCTCCTTGCCATTGGTTCTTGTTGCTGGGTCATATGGGGGTTGCGTTCATTGAACGCCGCCTTTCCTTGTTGATCTTGTTTTTCATATTTTATCAATGTAAAAGGGATGACATCTGTCTGGTGCATAATTTTGTTATAGGCAGGCTGTCAACCAGAAACCATTCATTCGCCATAAATAGGATCGTATATGTTTGGTTCGGCATCTGTACAAAACTTGAAGAACGATTACTTTCTGGCTTGTAAATAGAAAGGTATCTACTAATTCTGTAATATGACAAACAACGTTTTGTGGATGAACATCTGATTTGTAAATGTCATTGGTTCCAATGACCAGCACAACTGTTTCTTGGCTGATATTATGATGTCTCAAAACGGGTACCGTTGCTCCAGTTATTCCCCAAAAAATAAAGATCTACTAAAAGATTTAATCCATATTGTGGATAACCATCGTTCTTTCTAAATGCCCCGGGCCTTTTAACAAACGAATGACCAAACAATTGAAATTTAACTACGGGTAAAGGTTCATTTGATAATAAACCGATGTAATTTCCTATGTATCCTGCCCGTGAAAAGAATTGCCATTTTCTTCACGAATTTGAATATGAAGCCGCCCCTAAATTACGATTCCAGAAGATTAATAAAGTAACAGTCCAATGTAATACGTAATTATTTCTCTATATATCAAGCGCATAACTTCAAAAATAAATAAATTTTAGTAATAAAGAATGGCGAGGATGTTTTCCACGCCAAAATTATTTCTTTGTGATAGATCTATTGTAATCATTGGTTAATTAACGACACATAATTTAGGTATTTATATTGATTGGGTAAGACTTTAATCATGTACTAAGCTAGAACCCGACACTGAACGGGTAAAATTCTCTACAATTAGGATAACAGGGGCCAATGACATAAAAAATATTTGTGAGCATAAAATCTTATTTATTTGGAAGGCTTTGCCCTCCCAAGTCTTATCGCGGCAGTTATCAGGCCAAAAAATAGAACTGTGATTTTTGAAGCGGTTCATCACTTATCACTGGCATTTTTAAGATAAAGGTTTTATTCGTATACATCATATTTGCTATTTGTAAAGTTTGTAAATCTTAGAGAATCGCTTGGTTTAACCATTTTCTAAGTTTTAAAATTACTACATATGCTTGCTGTGGCGGTAAATTGGTCATATATCGGTCATATATAATTTAACAATAATACTTTACTACTATATCAGGAAATTAAGTGTGTGGGTTATGTACTTATAAATCCTTGAACTATTTGGCACCGTATTGTTGTGACCTTCGCCATTTGAATTATAGCAAGTCAACAACTTAGTCTCAATATCAATATTTTCTCACTGTCAAGTTCATTTGTTGTTATAAACTATGAATAGTACTTAAAATATATTTTAAAGACAAATATTATCTTAAATTACTCGTTAAATTGTTGCTTACATGTAAATGTCTAATGAAAACGCGGATTGTCTCAATAATTCGACTGCAAGACCTACCGATTTTACAATCTGATAGTCGCGAAGGGCGACCATCGTCAATATGATAAAAAGCCCTAAAGCGCACAATTTGTTGGACAAACACGCGGAAAACTCATACAAAAACTGATACATTTTTATTTCATTATGATTGCCAATTCGAATCAAGCCGTATTTTCCTTCCTTTATTTGATTGTTCAACTCATTATCATTGTGATTTATTATGTCAATTATCATGCCCCTTGATTGGAAATGAAAGTTGTATGGACCTCTGAGATAAAAAGGCGACATGTTGGAACTACTTTGGGCTGAGGCTTCCCTGTGCCACCATTGTGGAAAACGTGATAGAGATAAATTTCTTTTATACAGTTAAAGAAAGAATACCAGTACTATTTTAATATTGATGACTGTCAATTTCCCTTCTGAATCAGTCAAAAAATAAGATAAACAAGATCAACAAGGAAAGGCGGCGTTCAATGAACGCAACCCCCATATGACCCAGCAACAAGAACCAATGGCAAGGAGCCCAGGCGGACCCCAAACATAAAAAGGACAGGGTAACGACACGTTAATCATTAAATGATAAATAATTTGTAACTGATTAAGTTGCTAACTAAGTTGCTTAAAAATACAATATTTGTATTCTAACGTTTTAGAAAATGTGTACATGTTGATGACATGTCGGTTTTGGTAACACTTGGTTGCCAATGGAATTCTTAAATTGATTTTGATTGCCAGACAAATTTTTAACCATAATTGTACTGAAATTGACTTCTTATCCGATGAATGCCAAATGAATATACTCGTTACTCATTATACAAAGATTACACCCACTTTTCTTTACATTTCAATTCTGAAGTCACGTGGTAGACTCAACTCCGAGATGATAATGTATATTCGTTGAGGTTTTCAGATTGTTTAATAGGACATATAGGCGTATCAGTCTTTCCAGTACAAGCCTTGTTAATCCGACGAATGGCTTGAACCATTTTTTGACCAATTTTCAGACTTTTTCTGAGCCGGTATGTCAGACCGTACGAAAAGACAACATTGAGCCTAAAATATCTTACTATCTGTTAGCTAATATCTTGTACAATAGTTCGTCCAATTAAAAAGGGAACTCTATTCAACATTGAGTATCTAATATTTTCTCATTATTTTGTCAGAGAACACCGAAAACGAAAGTTAGATAACAGAAAATGCTAACAAATACACTGCTAAAGGGACTTTATTCCAAACGATGAGTCACCAAACTGAGATAGAGAAAAGAAAATACAGGAATTGGGTAAGATGTGGATTGGCATATAAATATCTAAAACAAGGACTGGAAGGTTTTGCTGATAATGTTGTCAAACAAGAACATAAGAGAATTCTTAGTTCTATCAATTACACACCTGGTATTATCTGTACTCGGTGTATCATTGGAAACCTGAAACCGACACATGCATGCATAATAAATTCTGCAGGTAAAAATGAGTGCTACTGGGGTCAACATAAGTGTAATTGTTTGCACACAAAGAAGGAAAAATGTCGTCTTCATATATGTGATCGCATTATGGAAGAACTATTTAGAAGCCATGGATCCACCCCGCCAACACTTAACTGGGCTAATACAGATATTCAAAAATGGTGTACAGAACCGTGGGAGGTCGCCAAATCTTTCATTAATGCACCTGGTTATTCAGATAAGACAAAGGCAGCTGATGTAGACATATCTGGATTACTCCTTGTCTTCATTAATAATACCAATCTTCATTCTCATTTAGCATGCTCCATGGCTGGAAAAAATGTTTTTGTCAAGGTAAGTCAATATTTGTTGTATAAACAATTACATTGTCAGAGTCATTCTAAATATTAAATTTAGATAAGAATATAAATAATCGATGTATTTTTTTTTTCATTTTGTAATGCGTTTATTTAAGGTCGCCGCCGGAAAGCCAATATGGGCGACCGTACACTCAAGTCGGGCCTTCCTAGAGCGTCCCGCCGAGATTTTTTCGTCGAATTTTTCCAGCTTTTATTGGTGGAGGAAGACCCCAGGTGCCCCTCAGGCATTATTTCAGGCACGAGCGGGCACCCGGGTAGAACCACCGACATTCCGTAAGCCAGCTGGATGGCTTCCTCACATGAAAGATTTCGACCCAAGTGAGGATCGAACCTACAGCGGTGAGGGACCAGTGATCTCAAGTCAGCGACCTTAACCACTCGGCCACGGAGGCCCCTTGAGCTGTTTTATCCGCTATATACCCCTGGGGCCGAGAACCCAGTCAGTTACATAGTGTATGTTTTATACATTTATTCACTTTGAGCGACTTTTGTACACTACTTGGTATTTAAGAGGCTGATACAGTGTGGCTTTGTAACATGAGCCATATATCTACATCATCATATATTGTATGAATACTACATGAGCTATGAACAAACATACGTTATACCATTATTAAAGATCCTGTATGTTGTAAATAGGGTTGTATACCACACTTAAGTGAAATTATATATACAATATGCATATAATATTGGTTATGAAACAATTTTCAAACATCAAAAAATATTTAAAATATGTACTGCAAATATTTGTACATTTTTATGTAATCATTAAAATGCATGCATTCATTTCTTATTGAAAAAAAAAACATAGTCTTTATAGAAAACAATTTTTTATTCCTTCCCTTTATTTACATGAAATGTTAAACTCGGTAATATCTTTATAAATAATGCTTTTTGGAACTTACAAAATTGATAAATCTTAATTTGAGGATCATATTTATGATATAAAACCATAAGAAAATGTGGTATAGGATCTTTAATGTTTGAACATTAAAATAAGGAAAACACGGAAATGTTCAAAGAAGGCATCGCACGAGTCACCTGAAAGTTGGCGTTAAATAAGATCTTGGTTACTTTAATCGTTTATTTATTTTGTGATTTGGGTGATTTTAAAAAAAAATAATAATTTGTGCGTATTTTTTCGACTTTTTTCACTTTGGAAAACATTAGACATAAGTTTTTTTAATTAATTGATATTACAGAGCAGATAAAAAGTTTGTCTGTCCGGACTACTCCTCAAACCTACTGAGACTTTATATGAATGATCAGTTAAGAATCTTGTAGGCATATTGTAGTTATTGTCCAGACCTATAATTTTGATATTTTTAGTTATGGTCCCTTAATGATTTATAATTTTAAAAAGTTTTTCCGGACTACTACTTATACAATTTGATTGAATTTACAGGATTGATTGGTACATGTTCTACGAATATAAGGTGTCAACATAATGTTTTTGTATTTTTAGTGAGAGAAGAAAGCTCATTTTCATTTATATTGGAACCAAACTATTCTTCCAATCTCGTGTGATTTACTAAACCCGAATGTACAATTTTAACAATTAAAGCAATGTGTTCTCGAAAACCATGAAAATAAAAGATAATTTTATATTTCTTTGTTTGTCTAATATTGTGATTAAACAAATAAGTCTCTTGACGGAACTTGTAGGTGCGAGAAAGAAGAAACAAATTGTATCATTCAACCACCATGGAAATTGATGAAGGGGAAATGTTTGAATGTATAGATGATATCGTTGAAATTCTTGAAGACCCGAAACAACTCAAAGGAAGACCCGATGCTCAGCAAGCTGTCAATAAACTCAAACAAGTAAAATGTTGATAAATTTGGTCTTTATGCAATTGATGAGATGTTTCTTTAGACAATAATTCTTAAACATTGAAATACTGAAATACATATGTAGATTAATATTATAAGATAAAGATGTTCTTCGGAAAAATATTATATTTTATTAGCTTACCAGAACCGAAGGTTCAGGGTGAGCTATACGTATAAAAAGAGAATGCCCCGGCGTCCGTCGTCCGTCGTCATGCGACAACAATCGTCTTCTTCTCTGAAATTGCTAGGCAGATTTATTTTAAATTTGGTCTGAAGCATCCTTTTGACGGTCACACTGTAATTTGCTCATGTCATTTCAATTGGCCCATTTAAGGGATCAACAGAGCTAAAAATAGAAAAACCTTTAAACATCTTTTACTACAGAACTAATTGATGATCACCAAACATTGTCTGTAGTATTCTTGGGTAGTCTTTCATTAAGTTTGCTCATATTAAACTAATTGGCCCCTTTTAGGGGTCTCAAGGGCTAAGAATAGAAAAACCTTTTTAACATTTCCTACATAACTAAGTGATGGATGATCACCAAACTTTGTCTGTAGCATTCTTGGGTAGTCTTATATCAAATTTGCTCATACAATGTATTAATTTGATTGGCCCCTTTTAGGGGCAGCTAAAGCTAAAATTAGAAATACCTTTAAACGTCTATTTCTACAGAATGAATTGATGGATGATCATTAAACTTTGTCTGTAGCATTCTTGGGTAGTCTTATATCAAATTTGCTCATACAATATATTAATTTGATTGGCCCATTTTAGGGACCGCTAAAGCTAGCAATAGAAATACCTTTAAATGCCCATTTCTACAGAACTAATTGATGAATGATCACTTAACTTTGTCTGTAGCATTTTAGGTACTCTTTTATCAAACTAGCTTATTTTAATTTGATAAGCCCCTTTAAGTGGCCACTAAAGCCAAAAATGGAAAAACCTTTGAACATCATTTCCTTGTGAAATAATTGAAAGATGATCACCAAACTTTGAAGCATTCTTGGGTAGTCTTTTATCAAGTTTTTGCCCCAGGTCATGGCATTTCTTCAAATTATTGTTTAAACATAGTCTTTGCTCAAATTTAATATAAGAAAATATTGATAATGGATAATTTCAAACACTGAAAAGCAGTTATTTCTGGTTAACGACTCAGGGCCATCATGGACCTCTTGTCTATAAATCTGATCATAAAAGGTCTTACTAAATATGTTAACTCTTAACTGATTATAAGAGATATAGATCTGTACTATGACGAACTATTGTTTAATTCTTATAAAACAGAACTATGATCGTTAATAATAAAAAAAATGATCTCGTAAAATATGTATTCTTTTTCTTGTTCATATACAACGATTTAAATAAATTGTGAAAATAAAAACAAATTAATTAAGATTTTATATAATTACATATCAATCAGCACAGATAAAATTTCGTAACAGTTTTTTCAGCAACTTCTTATCACAGCATCTTGACATTTGGTATACAGCTTTTACACGTGGTTCTATACTGTGGGAGTGTCACTCATCCACTTCCAGTTTACCGACTTAGTTAAATTTTCTACATTAATATGAATATTTCGTAACGGTTTTCTCAGCAAATTATCACATACAGACTACTGATATTTTGTATATAACATAAACACGTGGACTCATACCATGGGATTTGATTTCAGGTCTGTCCCTCATCGACTTCCTGTTTACCAACTTAGTTAAGTTTTGACATAAATGGTCAATTGTAGAAAATTTTCCTAACATCACATCCTCATGATATTTGGTATACAAATGCAACCCGGCCTTTTCTGTCTTTTTTTCAATTCAATTCAATTCAATATCTTTATTGTACAAGAGGCCTCCGGCCCATACACAGTGTATACAATATACAATACAAATTGGCAATACGAATTTCTAATACAATTATAAAATACAATCTGAATATAAATTATTCAAAACATTTAAGAAAATTATCCCTTTCTTTCATTGCATAATAAATATACATAGCAACATTATGTATTAATGACTCATCTTCAGTTGCCATCAAAGAGTAGAACTTTTGAATATTCGGATATTGATAATAATACAATGGTATATAGTAAGAACGTAAATTTGCATATAAAGAACACACAATAAGAAAGTGATATTCGTCCTCCAACATTGATTCACAATACATACAATCACGATGTTCTCTATCAATATTAAAATGTCTACCCTTTTCAACCATTAAACAATGTGAAGAGCTTCTAAAACTAGCAAAACATTTTCTATATTTGTCAATATCTATAACAGAAATATATTTTTTTCACTTTTAAAGGTAGTCTTAAACATAACATAATGATTTAATTTTACATTTTCTAGACACTTTAATTGCCAATTTTGCACAAACTGGTCTTTTAGACGCTGTTCATATTGCACTATAAATAATTTAGGATTGTCTTTGAATCATTTTCGTTTAAAATGAGAAGGAAAACTATTTCATTACTTACGAGTAAAGGGTGTTAATATTTATTTGTTTGTTCAATTATTTCAGAACAGCTACATCTAAAAACATTTCACTTTTTTATTTTTTTCCTAAATATATTTAGTACTACATTATAGAATTCTATGAAATTACTTCAATATTTATAGACATATCTATTTAGTTAACGAATAATGGAAGCAATATATAGGTCCTTATTGATCACTAAAATGAGTTCAAAGCATACTCATTGATTGATATCTCGTAATCATTATAACCATACAAAAGATTGTATATGTAATCATCTAACATTGTCTTTCCTTGTTGATCTTGTTTTTCATATTTTTTGAACAATTATACTCGTATATAGGGAGTGCTACCCTACTCACCTGGGCGTCTACGTCACACTTTTGGTTATGCTTTCGTACCGATCCAATTATTTCCTTTATCAGTAGAGGTATTGCTTGAAATTTTGTAAACTTCCCCTCTTCCAGACATGAAGATATAAGTCTGTCTTGGATTTTAAAAAATAAATTCCCCTTTTTGGACTTGATTTTGTTCAGTTTTTCAAAAGCTGTAATTCATGGAATTTAGTACTTTATGAAGCATTGTCTTGTAGTTCGTTACAAAAGTTACATAAAGTTTAAAACATGGCAATGGGATAATTAGATCCAAGCTGTTACATTTATTTATCTTAAACAATATCACTAATATCTTAGCTTACGTATTTGGTTTCAGGCGTAACTGCAAATGGTACATAAATCATTTCCAGATCTTTGGTAAATATAAAAAGTCCCCCTCCCTTAATTTACTTAAGTAATGTTATTATAATAAATCAAACACTTTGCACAAACTGATACATGTATAATAAAATGAGCCGAAAATATTTTAACAACTACGTGTCATACTGATGGGTATGACTTACTCTTCACTTATTATTCTTACTACCTAAATTGTTGTTTAATTGAATGTTTTACTGGTAATATATTAATTTATGGTGTTGAATCAACATTGCATGCACTTCTTTTGCCAAAATTTGCAAATCAAAGCAAATGTCCCAGAAAGAGCCCTCTATGACGATAAAATACTATTTTTCTTTTAATATTTGAGAACTGTACATAGTTTTGAGATTTAATACATTAAATATTTTACATTGCTTAAAGGTGCATTTTAAGTGGCAGTTTTCTATACATATTTGCACACTGTTTTTTATATTACTTTGTAGTTGTTGGAGTTGTGTAGAATATGTGTATATCTGCAAATATATGTCTAACATTGATTTTTGCTTATGATAAATTTTTATGCTGACATTCTGCATATACTGTAAAAAAAAACCTATGAAATGAGAAGTTATTAAATACGTTTTGCATGAAGCTAGAAAAAGGTCAGGTGCTAAAATACCTGCACAGAATATACATGCATAGTCGGATATTAATTCACAGTTATCACAGTACTGTTCTGTGTTAAAGATTATTTTCTTCTTATTTGTCAATGCCAGTTAAAGAATAGTGACTTCTTAATCACTACCCACAATGAGGTCGAGGTATGTAGAGAGGCATTAGCATCCGTAAACCTAAAATCAAAAGAAATAGAACAGGCGATTCAAGATGCAAAGAATTTCATGAGTGATGAAAAGAAAGATATTGAAGAGAGATTGCAACAAGCAGCAGATCAACATAAAAAGGATGTTAAAGATGTCAGTGATCAGGTAACGGATACAGCTAAGGAGACAATACAGAGCAGTCTACAAGGAGCTGTCAAAGAATTTGACAAACACAGCGAAATATTATATGAAAGAGTAACGACACAGGAAACACACGTTTCTAGGAGAATAGGGAAACTAGAAATAGACGTTTCATCTGTGGAAAAAGTAAAACCCCTTTATAAAATATATATCACTTCAGACATGTAATTCTCACTCTCAAATTATAAAAACTAAAGAAGAAAAGTACTTGTAGATTTTTACAAAAATTTGAAACCTTTTTGTACAAAACAAACCTTAAATATAAATTATAAGTATGAAGTTTAGTGTTCAAAACAAGATCCTTATGAGCTATTGAATGTAAATTATTTAATTCATTGTCATAGAAACTAAAGAATGCACTCGTATACAACAGTGATTGTTACTGAAGGCTCTGGGTGAGCTATAAGTATATATCAAAGACGGATGATCCTGTGTCCGGTGTTCTTCGTCATGCGTCAACATTTATATTCTTCTGTAAAACTACTCGGCATATTTGCTTCATACATCCTTGTGACAGTCACACTTAAATTTGCTCATATCATTTCAATGGGTCAACAGAGCTAAAAATAGAATAGAAAAGCCTTTAAACATCTACTTCTACTGAACTGATTGTTGGATGATCTCCAAACTTTTTCTGTAGTATTCTGAGGTAGTTTAATTTATCAAATTTGCTAGAAAGCCAGTTTACACCATAACAAAATTGATAACAGCAGCATATAATATATCAAATATGTATGGTTCTGCTTCAATCATGCTTAACGGACAATAAGAGGGCCAAAATGCCTGTTTAAAGTGTCTGTCTAACACTTTTGTTTATTTGATTTGAACTAGACTTGCATTGAACTAATATCATTTAAGTATATTGTTGAATTTTAGAGAATATCCATTGAAAGGGTTAAAACATAAATATTTTGCGTTGCCTGTCTGGTAATTGTTTTTTTTTTTCTTAAGAGCATAATTTTTCAAACAGGAATTTTTGTCTGTACAAAAACTTATATCGCTTGAAAGTTAAAAAACAAACACAAAGTTTATTTTGTGTTCTAGCGAGTAACATCATTAGAACGCACGGTTGGAGAATTAGACTGTATACGACAGATGTTCAAGAAACGTTTAGATAACGTCGAAGAGAAGAAAGGTATATAAATATATGAAGAGAAATAATTCCTTACTAGAGTTATGCTTTCATATTTTGGTAGGATGTTTGCATAAACTCTAGCTTATCATGTCGTCGATTGTTAATCATTCCCTTCTAAAAATAAATATAAAATCATCAAACTAAATCTTGCTTATTTGAAACTATTACTTCCGCTTTGAAGTGTATTCACTAGAATTACTGTCAACTGCATTGATACTGAGGATTATGGGTCCAAACCCAAAAGGGTCAGCTTTTTGCATACATTAGAGACGTATGTTTTTGTAGCAAAAAGAACAACCTTTTAAGTTTGTTTGATTTTTGCTTTAATTGGCTATGGCTGTTTTTTTTTTAAAGGATGGTCTTCATACTTAAGCAAAACTACTTTAGGGATAATGCTTTAAAGAAGATCAAACTTAAGTTGAGCTTGACCTAAAATAACCTTGACATAACAGGAAAAAATATTGTAATTTCAAAGTATTTGCCATATAATTTGTAATTAAAGAATGGATTGTCTTCATACTTGCTCAATAAAATTCTTTGGACTTCACATTAACTAAAGATGATACAATTGATATTGACCTAAACCTTAACTTGACATTGACTCTAATGGTCAAATGAGTGAATATTGCTTCAATTGGCCATAACTTCGTTTTTTATTTATTTATGGATTTGATTTATAATTGGACCAAAAAAAACACTTATAATAAAACTTATATGTTTTGCAATTCAAAGATGATCTTAATCTATCAAGGTCCAATATTGAATTTAGTTTGGACTACTAGTATCGTAACTTTTATTTAACCTTGGCTGCTATGGTAAAGTTTTTGAAATTGACTTTAAGTGGCATAACTTTGTTATTTATTTACAGATTTGTATCATATTTGGACAAAAGAACTCACATGTTTAAACCGACATGTAATTCTGATATGACTTTGACCTTTATTCACCTAAACCAAAGTCAAATTATTTAATTTTGCTTAAACTGTCCAAACTTTGTTATTTATTAATAGATTTGATTTTTTCTTGGACAAAAGAGCAATTATGACAAATTTAACAGGATCATCAATTCAAATGTGCATTTGACTTTGGCCTTAAAGCATACTGAAATGAAAATTTAATTTTAATTTTATAAGAACATTAAATTATGTCTTCTAGGAGAACTCTTGACTATATTTCTCTGATGTGCTTGACTTAAGAAATACATTTTTGTCTTTGTATTTATTCATGTACATGAATAAAATCTTTTTATTAAATCAAAACTATAAAGAGCCATTTTCTTCATTTTCTTTTAGGTGTTTATAATGTATCTCTTTTATTAGCCCCCTACCGGTTTACCGGAGGGGACTTTAAGTTTACCCTCCGTCCGTCTGTTCGGGCTATTTAAGAGAAGTCGGGGGCCATGTAACTGTAAACAGAACAAAAGAGAACAATAGAGTTCATTCCGTGACAATAGAATGAGGGGCCATGGCCCTCTATTTAATAAAAGAAAATAGGAAAGGAAATGGCCCATAAGTCCATTTAAATGGCACGTCTGTTCACATGTCTGTCCGTCCACAAAACTGGATCCCGCAATAACGCAAAAAGTACTGAAAATATTTTTATGAAACTTGATATATAGATAGATGGCAGTATGGAAAATGCGCGTCTTTTTCTTTTCTTCCTATGATGAAAATACTGGTTGCTATGGCAACTTATAGACTGAAAATATGGCAAATTTTACACATAAACTGGATCCAGTGATAACAAATAAAATACTGAAAATATTTTTATGAAACTTGAAATATTGGTAGATGGTAGTCTGGAGATAATGCACATTTTTTCTTTTCTTCCTATGTTGAAAATTCTGGTTGCTATGACAACAAATAGACTGAAAATTTAACAAATTTAAGATATAAACTGGATCTAGTGATAATGCAACAACTTCTGAATTTTTTTTTATGAAACTTGAAATATGGGTAGATGGCAGTATGGAGATTATGCATATCTTTTTTCTTTTCACCTATTTTGAAGAAAAAAATGGTTGCCATGGCCACAAATAGGCTTAAACATGGCAAACATAACAATATTTGTGATAAGTCCAAAACACTAAAAAAAATTATGAAATTTAAAATATAGATAGATGGCAGAAATGAAATTATACACATCACTTATATCTTGACTATAGGGAGTATATTGAGAGCTGTCAAACTTAAAAAACGTCGGCAACCTCGTCAAGATTTCTGATTCTAGTGTAAGGTTTTTTCACTATAAGGTATTTATTTCTTAAGGTATTTATTTCAAACTTCAAACATAAGTTTCTGGTCATCAACCACATCAAATGTGACAAGGTTTAAACTCTAGCACAAAAAATATCAGAATTGCGCCCTTGAACTGACATGAAAAAATGTTGTTTTTTTCAGCTCACCTGTCACAAAGTGACATGGTTAGCTTTTGTGATCACTTTTCTTCCGGCGTCCGTCCGTCGCCCATCTGTCCGGGCATCAGTCGTCCGTAAACTTTTACTTTAAACGACATTTCTTCATAAACTGCTAAGCCAATTTCATCCAAACTTCACAGGAATGGTCCTTTTGTAAATTGTTCAAAGAATTTGATTCCATGCAGAACTCTGGTTGCCATGGCAACCAGAAGTAAAAATTTAAAATATCTTCTTTTAAAAAACCCAAAGAGGTAGAGCTTTTATTTGGCATGAAACATCTTCTAGTGAGTGTCTTTCAAGTTTGTTCAAATTAAAGTCCTTGGGTTAGAATTGGTCCCACCCCAGGTTTTGCTTTTCCTTATAAGTTTATAGTAAAACCTTAAAAATCTTCTTTAAAATTCCGAAAGAGCTAGAGCTTAAATATTTGGGATGTAACATTGTCTGATGAGTGTCTACCAAGTTTGTTCAAATAAAAGACTTGGGGACAAAATTGTCCCCGCCCGGGGGGGGGGGGGGCAGTCATTGATTTTCCTTATATGTATATAATAAAAACTTAAAAAATCTTTTTTTTTAAAAAAAAAACCCAATGAGTTAGAGCTTAGATATTTAGCATGAAACATCTTCTCATGGGTGTCTACCAAGTTTGTTCAAATAAAATCCCTGGGATCAAAATTGACTACAATCGGGGGTACTGATTTTCCTTATATGTCTACATAGTAAAAACGTAGAAAATCTTCTTTTAAATAACCCATAGAGCTTGAGCTTAGATATTAAGCATGAAACATCTTTTAGTGATTGCTTACCAAATTTATTCAAATAAAAGCCCCAGCGTTAAATTGGCTGGACCCCGGGGTCTGATTTTCCTTAAAATCTATAGTAAAAACTTAAAAAATCTTCTTTTAAAAACCTCAAAGAGCTAGAGCTCAGATAGTTATCGTGAATAATCGTCTAATGGGTGTCTACCAAGCTGGTTAAAAATAAAAGCCCCTGGGTTAAAATTAGCCCCGCCCCAAGGACCTATATACAGGTGAGCGATTTTAGGGCCATCATGGCCGTCTTGTTTAAATAACTTCTTTATTTCTTAATGTATCTTCTTCAAATCTCACATATATGTTTCTTATTATCACTCAAATTATTTGTGAGAAGGTTCAATACTCAAGCAAGAATATTTCTAGAATTATGTCCCCTTGAACTTATATTTTACTCCAATTTCTTCATTACTTATAGGATTTACTTCAAACTCCCACATCATAAGAATATGACAAGGATTATAAATCTAGCATCCTTATTTCCAGAATTATCTCCTCCTTAAACTTTGAATTTTTCTTATTCATTCTTTTAAATTTCTTTTACTTCAAATTCAAAATAAACATTCATTTTGAACAGCTTCATGTATCATGTATCATGTATGACATCTTGGATCTTTATTTAAAGAGTAATCTCCTCTTTAAGAGTTTTGCTTTTAAAAATGTTATACTTTGGTAACAGGATGTTTAAAAAATTAACTTTAGAGTGTCCTTCAGTCTGCCTGTTCATAAAAACTGTTTCCTGTTTTCGTTTTTAAAGAACGTTTCCAACAAATTTTCTTCAAAAAAAAAAGAAGAGAAATTTTGAAACATTATTGCATGGCCAATTGTCCTTCAGAATGTTGCTGGGGTTCTAACTGGTAGGGGACTTATGGATTGCTTGCAATACTATGATAATTGCTTGTTTCATAATTGCAATCTAGTCTAGTTTGATCAGAAATGAATGTTACAGCGTGAAGATAGACTTAGAGCTGTTTGCTTGGTATACTTGTACCCAGTGTCATATGTGAATTAGATTAAATGATACAATGTCGAAAAACGATAAAACTTCTATTTAGGTTAGGTTGACACTATTTGTTTTTGCTTCTTGGAATGTTGACAATTATTAGATCTCCATAAATCACTGCAAGTAACATAATTTCTCAACGACCTTAAGAAAAATGAAATTACCCTTTTACTATTTTACAGAGCTACAAGATAATCTTGTTAAATCTTACCAGAAGTATTATGTGAAGACAACACTTTCTCCTTTGAAGCAACAAGAAGATAGCATCAACGTTAAAGATGTATATGTACCTCCTGAGATAGAGGTTGTTGATGAAAATCAATCAGCAAATCTGGATAAAGGTAGGAGGAAGATGAAAGCGAAGGTTAAAGGATATCAAGACATCTTTCAAACAAAAGGGCGGCAGAATAGGAAGATTTACATATTAGGTGATGTTGGAACAGGAAAGAGTACGTTCTGTAAAATGATGATTGAAAACTGGTGTACTGCTGTAACGGGTTCGACCGAAAGTTCTATTCGCTACGAAAATGCTTGTGACAGAATGGTATGCAGTGACAACATTATGGAAAAAAGCTGTGACGATGATGTCAGTCAGATAGGGCAGTATGAATTTCTTTTCTTTTTACCACTGCAATATATGTCAACATTTCAGTCAGATGTCATCGTTGATATGATTAAGGAACTCACAAAAGATCTCATTTCAGATACAGATTTGATTGACAGAATATTTCAGGAAAACTCAATGCGTTGTCTTATCATTGTTGATAGTTTGGATGAATGGACGCCTCCTAAAGATGTTGTGCGTAAACCGCATGTAAGTTATGGAATACCAAACGGGGACAGAGCTAAAGACGCAACAGTCCTGACATTATCTAGACCATCAGCAAAAGGATTACATAATTTGAAAAAATCCGAAGTTGATCTCAAGTTTAAATTATTAGGTATATCTAGTAGCTCGATGGAACGATTCGTTAAACGATACATTTCTGATTATGACACCTTTTTCATCAAAAAATCTTATGATAAATTCATAGCTATTTTGCTGTCAAAACAGATTGAGCATGTGGAGAAAACGCCATTGCTTTTGCAACAACTTCTTTGGTTATACTGTAATGATATATACATCGGTGAATCAATTAGCGAAACTTACTGTCAGATTTTAAATACCATGTTTGGTTGGTCAGACCAAAGTAAAGAAGAAGATGACACTGATGAATGTCAGACTTTGGAAGATTTCCCAAACTTAACACTGCCCAATATGTTAAAAAGATTTCCAAGATTAGAGAACAACAAACGTGTCCTATTTCTCCTAGGTCGTACTGCATTTGAAAAATGTCTTTCTGGAAAATTACATGGAACATTTGCTTGTACTTACCTTAGCAAAAGAGACTTGCCAAAATGTGATGTGGTTAAGCTTACACGATTGGGCATCTTGAATGAGAATAAGTGCTATAACCCAACATTCGAAGACACACAGCTGGATTTCATCCATTTCTCTTATCTCGAGTTTTTTGTTGCATTATATGTAACGATATGTTGTTGCATTGAACAAGTAGACTCACGTCCAGAGAAACAGAACAATGGAAAACATACGGTTGTAGATGAGTTGCTTGGTACATGTACATCAGTTTTTGACGTATTACAGTTGTCCAATGTGATTAAAATGATTTGCGGTTTATCCCCCTTACTTATTGGTGATTTGTCAAAAGGGATTTCCTGTATTGTGAATGGAGACAAACACATTTCACATCTTAGAAAAAATGCGTGTAAAACGTTATACAGAAATGATGAGATTGTTCAGATACAACGGCTGATGGTAGACTGTCTCAAAGAGTGTGGTTCATTTTGTAGGACATTGGTCAATATCAGCGATCTATGCATAAGTGATCTTGAACCTAGTCCGTCTCTACAAAGGATAAACACAGATAATGTGTTTTCTCTGGCATTTGTAGATTCACCAGAAAATGATGTAGTGGAGTACATCACACAATGCAAACATTTGCAATACTTAAATATCAAATATGTTTCCTTTAAGAGGACAGATATTTCATTATTATCAGAACAAATATCTGTTAAACAGTTGATGCTACATTGTGTAGATGTTGAAGAAGATGATGTTAAAGAACATGCTACAGTTAACCTGACTAGACAGAACCAGATGCAGATACTTGAGCTTTTTTCATGTGATAATATGAGAATTTCTGGCATAAACACTGAAAAACTAAAACAAGTTCACATTGAAAATTGTCCTGGTATAATTAATTTTGAGTTTTTATCAAATGCCCCGCAACTGACAGAGCTTTGCATTGAGAATTATGATGCTGATTGTGTATCACAGGGTCAACGTTATCATATTGACTTGTCTAAACAAATACATCTCCAAACACTTAAGCTGATAAACTGTCCTGATATAGTTAATTTTGAGTTTCTATCAAATGCAGGCAGACTTACAGGCAGCCTCTTAGAGCTTTGTATTGAGAATACTAATGCTCATTTGGTATCACATGGTCAACGTTATCATATTGACTTGTCTGAACAGAAACATCTCCAAATACTTAAGTTGATAAACTGTCCTTATATAGTAAATTTTGAGTTTCCATCAAATGCAGGTAGCCTCACAGAGCTTTGCATTGAGAACAGTGATTTTGTATCACAGGGTCAATGTCGTCATATTGACTTGTCTGAACAGAAACATCTCCAAACACTTAAGTTGATAAACTGTCCTGATATGTCAATTACAGGATTAAATGTTGAACAACTTGAACATATATACATTTCTGGATGTCCCACAATGCACACTATAAAACTGTCATCTTGTACAAGCAAATCTAAGAAACTTTTTGCTGACTTTGTAGATGTGGAACAGTCTTTACTGGAACAGTTTTTACTACAAACAAATTTGAGAAAACTGAGTTTATCTGATATTAGAGATAATGTTTATGTTGATCTGTCTAGACAAAACCAAGTACAAACACTTAAGCTGAAAGATTGTCCTGGTTTAGTCATTACAGGATTAAAAACTGAACACCTTGAACAGGTATATATTTTTAACCTGGCGGAATATGTATTAAGAGATTATCAAAACACTATGTTTGACTTAAATTGTTTATCAAACGCAAAGAAACTCATTGAATTACACGTGGCTGGATTTTTTGGTAATGTAGCACCACTTGTATCGTTATTACAACAAACTACTTTAAAGCAACTGACTTTGACACGTATGTATCACGATCAGGGTGTTTTGCTTGCAATAGATCTGTCTGATCACAAGTTACAGAAACTTGTGCTTTCAAATTGTAATTGTATGAAATTTTACAACTTAAACACTGATCACCTTGAACATCTGGAAATTTCACATGGTTTATTAGATTTTACTATAGTATCAAATGCCAGCAGTCTGACTGAACTCTGCTTAAGTGGCACAACATTTCAATATAGCAAACAAGAAAATAATGTAGTACATACTTTACATCAACTTAGGTCACTCATATTATCGGGTATAATTATAGATGATAACGCTATTACTGTAACACCAGAAATGAAAAGTCTTACTTACATCAAACACAGAGTAACAAGAATGACTCTGTCAACATGGTGTACATTTGTTGAAAGTCTTCTTAGTCTTTGCCAATCTGTTGAGGTTGAAGCAGTCGGTATGACTAAAGAAAAACTTGACTTTGTACGAAATAATGTGAGATTTGAAGTTATTAGGGATGAAACTAATCATTCTATATTTCAATTTAAATCAAGGAAATAATAACACCACATTGAGTATTTTGTGATTATAAGTGATATTGTAACACGCAGCGTCAGTTCGAATTTAGGTGCAATTAATTTATTACGGACAGGTTTATGTCTCTTGATATTTCAACTTTCTGTAAAGTTATTGTTGGTCTTGTTTCATCTAAATTTAAAGCAGTGAATTTATTTTTTGCTGAGGGTTTTAACATTGTGCTTTTAGAAGATTATACCCATGGTCTTTGTTTAATCATTTTTTATTATGCTATTTTTATACATAACATGTATCAATATAACACTTGACCTTCATAAAATAAGCATAAATAAAAGCAAATGTAGTGGGACAACAGTGCCCTACGGACAAATTTCTAGTTTGTATGTGTGTTTTTGTTTTTGTTTGTTGTTTTTTATGTTGTTGATGTTTGTTCTTGGAAAGGGGAGTTAAGGACCACTGTATCAATTTATTATAAATTATCTATGTAATTTCACAGTGAAAACACAAAGGAAGTGTTATTGGAAAACAATATGAAATTGTATCATAAGTTTGAAAACATTTTGACTGTAAACTATAGACTAAAATAGATTAACTGACTTTACATTAAGAAATGAAATACGCATTTTGACCTTATAATAAATAAAGAATACACATGCCGAATTTGAAATAAGAAAATAAGTTGTCATTCAAACAATTCATAACGAATAAATTAAGAGTCCTGATTTTACTATAGTTAGAATCGAAAAAACATACAGAAAACAGTTGATTGAAAATGACATCCTGACTTTACAGTTAGGAATAAAATAGAATGTGATATTCACACTTCACAATCAGGATTTTTATTTTCAAAAAGACCTATAGATTCAATGATATTTTATTGTTACTTGAAAAGATCATCTGCATGCATGTATATGGAAGTTTTAATTTGATGATTGAACCATGCAATATACTTCCATCATTAATTTTGTTTGCTTAAAATTGTATTATATTTGTGAATAATATATTATTTATGTGTATGCGGTATTCTATTGTTTGAAAATGCATGGCTTTTGTTTCTTTTTGGAATTTGCATGTATTAAAATGTATTCAGTTAAATTATTAGAATGTGACTGATATATGAATAGGACCGTAACATTGTATTTGAAGATAAAAATGTACTGTTACAGTTTACACAGTGTTCTAAGTATTATTAGTAATTATTTCATGAGACCATTATTTTTAGCTCGGCTTTTACGAAGAAAATAATTAATGCTACAGTCATGTCGTCCATTCCCGTTTATGTCTTCGCATTGGATTTTTTTCATTTCTTAATGTATTGTCTTAATAATTGGATACAATAATCCTGCTTGTAGAACAGTCTGAACTAGACCTGTAATCATTAATGATCTTGCTTGAAATTGACAACTTTGCAAGTAACGCATTGATTGTATTCATACATTAGCACAACAGTCATTTGGACAAGACATTAAAGATGATTGATTGAACTTGTCCTTGACCTGTATTTGACGTGTGAAATTTACTACAATTAGCCATAATTTTGTAATTTATTTATTGATATGTTTTATTCTCGGACAAATGAACAACTATAATAAAACTGACTTGAATAGCAAATTTACCATTGACCTTTAAATTATCTTTGCAACCAGGGTCGAATATAGTTAATTATTAAAATATAAAGTTCACCTTTATTTGACCTTGACCGTCATGGTCGAACTACTGACATTGAAATTTCATTAGATTGTCAAAGCTTTGTGCTATGTGATATGATCTTGACTTTTAATTGTCATTTTCTACCA